ACACATTGTAACAAACACCTGAGTGTACACCATCAATTTTAAGAAAAAAAATTATAAAATTTGAAGCTCCATGTGCCTCTTCCATTCTCTGCCTCTCAATCTTTAATCCTATTTATTATTCCTTGTTTTTTTAATAGTTTTATCACATATATTTATATCCCTAGATGGTTTATGCTTTCATTTGCACAGTTTTTAACTTTATAAAAATGAAACATCCGTATGTATTGTCAACATCATTGTTCTGGGATTCATTCATGTTGAATTTTTGTTTCTGTGACTTATCTCATTGTATGAGTATTCCAGAGTTTATACAGGTGGTCCCTGACTTAGGATAGTTCAACTTGTGATTATTCAACTTTACTATGGTGCAAAGCATTTATTATGCATAAGCATTTATTACGTTCTTTGACTAATGATGGGGTTACATCTCAACAAACCCATGGTAAATTGAAAATATCATTAAGTCAAAAGCACACTCTCCACTTAAGATATTTTCAATTTAGCATGAGTTTATTGAGATGTAACTCCACTGTAAGTTCAGGAGCATCTGTATTCTATTCTATTACGGATGGATATTTTTGTTCTTCTAATTTTGGGCTATTCCAAACAATCCTGCCATGAATATTCTTTACATCTCTTTATACTATGTGGAAAGGTTTCTGTAGGGTATATATCCAGGAGTTAATTTCTGTGTATGTCATTAACAGTACTAGATATTGCCATATTATTTTTCTGAAATAGTTGTAATTTACAATCTTACCATACCCCGGCTTCACATCCTTGCCAACACCAAGAATTATGTGACTTTTAAATTTCTGCTGATGGTAAATGTGAAATGACACTTCATGTAGGTTTTAATTTATGCTGTTTTGACTATTGCTGAGTTTGATCATCTTTCCCTATCTTTCTATCGGATTGTCTGTCTTCTTAATTATTTGTAGGAGTTCTGTACATATTCTCGTACTACTGTGTTGTCAGTTATATGTGTTGCAAATATTTTTTGCTGCTCTGACTTGCCATTTCAACTCTATGTTATTTTGCAATAGAATTTCTTAACTTTCTGGTAGTTAAACTTAAACTTAACAAATTTTTTTAATGGTTTGCACACTTTGAACTTAGTGAGACATTTCTTTACTTGAAATCATTCTCCTTTTGCATCTTCTACATATTTTATACTTTTGACTTTCAAATTATGAAATATTTCATATTTCACCTAGGATGTATGGTTTGAAGTAGGCATCCAGTTTCACTCATTTTCAAGTGGATAACCTGTTTGCCCAGTACTGTTTATTAATATTATTCTTTTCCCACTGATCTACAGTGTAGCTTTGTCATTAACTAGACTTCTAAATATATGGGTTATTTATTCTGTTCCTTTTTCTATTTGTTTATCCCTGTCTGCCATTGCCAAATGTCTATTATAACTTCAAAATATGCTTGATACCGAGTTAGAGAAGTCCTCTCCCCCTGTTTTTCTTCTTCTGGAGTGTCTTAGCTACTCTTGGCCTCTTGCTTTTCTATATAACTATTAACATCAGCATAAAAAGTTTTATTTAAAAACAATTGGAGCTTTTGTTTGGAACTGCATTGAATCTGAAAGAAGTTGCTGTGTATGTCATTAACAGTACTAGATATTGCCATATTATTTTTCTGAAATAGTTATAATTTACAATCTTACCATACCCTGGCTTCACATCCTTGCCAACACCAAGAATTATGTGACTTTTAAATTTCTGCTGATGGTAAATGTGAAATGATACTTCATGGAGGTTTTAATTTATGCTGTTTTGACTATTGCTGAGTTTGATCATCTTTCCCTATCTTTCTATTGGATTGTCTGTCTTCTTAATTATTTGTAGGAGTTCTGTACATATTCTCGTACTACTGTGTTGTCAGTTATATGTGTTGCAAATATTTTTTCCTGCTCTGACTTGCCATTTCAACTCTATGTTATTTTGCAATAGAATTTCTTAACTTTCTGGNCTCTTCATTGTATCCTCATCTGGTCATTTTTTGGTCTGTGTATTCTGTGGGTTGTCTGTGTCCTAATCTCCTCTTCTCATAAGGACAACTGTCAGATTGGATTAGGGCCCATCCATATGAACTCATTTTACCTTACTTATCTCTTTAAAGGCTCTATCTCCAAATAAAGTCGCTTTCTGAGATTGTGGGGGTAAGGAATGCAACATATGAATTTGGAGGGAGGGGACACAATTCAGCCTCTAACAGAAGAGCACTGACATTTTTCCAGTATTGAATTTTCCAATCCGTGAACATACTATATCATGAACATTTTTCATGTATATTTGTATTCTTTAATGCCTTTCAACAAAATGTGTTCTTCTCCATATAGGTCTTAAACATTATGCTGCCTATTCTCCATTTACTTGACCAGAACCCCTCTCCTTCCTTCTGCACCATGGTTCATGTCCTAGAAAGTCAACATTTATGGATTCCATCAAAGGGCTCCCTTGCCTTCTGGCCTCTGAATAGGTCTGACCAATGGGGAGCATGGGCAGGAAATCTAAGTTGCTATTCATTCCCTGACTTCTACTCCACTGCTGGCTGACAACTGTCAGCAGCAGCTGTGTTCCTCTACTGACAGGTAGAGCTCTTGTACAGTAGCCTTCTCCTACAGCCACAGCTGTCTCTGTGAATTCAGGTACACATACCTGCTCCATTTCAGTGGCTCATTCAGATCTATGGTTAGTATTTCATTTTCTCTCTGGGTTGCTTATGATTCTTACCATACCTTAGTAAGTGATTGTTCATTAAACTTTCCTAAATTTCTACATTTCAGCATGCCAGTCTTTTCCTGCAGGGAAACATACTTTGTCAGATTTATTCCCATGTACTTTACAATTCTTGATTATATTTTATATGGCAAATTTTTAAATTCCATTTTCTTTTTGTTGCTAATGTACTGAAATGCAATTGCTTTCATTAAACTTTTTAACAATCCAGTAACCTCGCTAAACTCTCATTAATTCCAACAATTTGTATTAGGTTTTCATTTTTTATATATAATTTTTATAAATAATCTTTAAATTATCACATTCTATAACTTTTTTTCCCAACATTCAGGCCTTTTTGGGCTACCCGAATGTTTAGTGCAATGCTGTATTGAAGTGGGAGTACCCACCATCCCTGTCTTGTACCCAACTTAATAGGAAATACTTTCAGTGTTTCATCATTGGGTGTGCTGTTTCTTTCAGATATTCTATCAGGTTAAGGAAATCCCCTTTTATTTCTAGTGCCTAAGAGTTCTTCTTATGAATAAATGAATGCTGAATTCTATCAAAACCTTTTTACACCTCTATTGTTTTTTGGCGCTGGCCAGTATGGGGATCCAAGCCTTTGACAAGATCCGAATTCTTCACGTTGGTGTTACAAGGTGGTGTTCTTATCATCTGGCCTAACCGTTTTTAGAACTATACTGATAGGATTTTTCTCCTTCAGTCTTCTAATATGGTTAATTATATTAATTGCATTAGTCTGTCTTCTAACATTAAACTGACCTTGAAGCTCACACAATTGTTCATGATACCTAATACTGTTAGAACTCAGAATACCATAGTTATCAGTTACACTGTATTCTTATCTACAATGAGCAATACGTAAACACATATCAATATTTAACTAACCAGTGTGTTGTTTTAACTTCAATGTGTCTTTTATTTATCTCCATCAACGCAGGAATTTATTCAATCAGTAAACAATCATTTGCTGAGCATTCACTAATGAATTTGTACTCTACTGCACTTCTGGCACGAGAGTACAAATGACAAAGCCATAACCATTATAATTAAAGAGCTCATTAACTTGAGAGAGAGAGAGAGAGAGAGAGAGAGAGAGAGAGAGTGTGTGTGTGTGTGTGTGTGTGTGTTTGACCACAGGGTGAGACTGACACAAAGGAGTAGAAAAAAAGATAATGAAAAACGTACATAGTTAGGTGCTGACTATAAGTGAATGATCAAAGTGCTAAGGAAATAAAATTGACACATTTCAAGTCCCCATTCAGGTTATTTGACTTGAATCTTGAAGGATGGTAGATGTTTGATACAAAAAAATGAAGGAAACATTCACAGAAATTTGTGTTGATTAAATATTTATTGACGTTACGGCTTTGGAGATAAAGTAATAAAACACAAAAATCTCTGCTGTTTTAAGCTTACACTCTAAAACATTAAAGGAATGAAACAACTCACCCATAGAAAGAGCTTTTCCTGCTTAGGAAAACTTCTGTATGAGAATCACTGAACAGTTCTGGTTGTTAAACAAAGCAGTGATTTCCGCAGTGGGGTTGCCTGCAGGAAGACAATATCGGAATTTCTGATTATATTTAGTATTTAGAGTCTTTCAATATTTCTATTTTTGTCTCTATTTTATAATATACATGTATGTGACTTGCAAATTATTATTCACATATTGAAAGTGCGGGCTCAAACTTTATTGATGAGTCTTAACAACAACAACAAAAAGAACAGACACTAGGCTTCTATTCCTCTAGAGTCCTCCTAAGACCTCCAAGGAAAAAATTTAACTGTATTTCAAGCCACATAACACTCATGTCTACAACACTAGCAACACTCGTACAGGAAAAGACACAGAGGAGCTGCCTACACGTATAGCTACTAGTAGGAAATTTTTTTTTAAATTGTTAGACGATGTTTGCAGGTTTGGGCCGCCACTGTGGACGACTCCAGTTTCTGCACAGTCCGAACCAGTGGACTGCTCCGCGCAGTCAACAGCAGCCGCCGGGTCCAAGGGCTTACAGCTTTCGTACACCGAGAACCCCGCCCCAGGACAGCAAGGCATTTCCGGCCGATCAGAGCTCGGCGCCAGAGACTCGGCCTCAGAGGCTAGGGCGCCTCCAGACCCCATTCGCAGCCCGCGTGGAGCGGCCGTCAAGTGCCCAATAGGCGCTTAACTCGCGCCTGCGCTTTCCTGTCCCTCGCTCCATTGACCCTTCTGCCAAGCGAACCCGCCTTCAAGCCCGATCGTCACTTCCGGGAAACGCTCAGCGTCATTTGCGTCGTCACTTCCTGCTCATACCGGCGTGTACGGTGTGGGTCGTGGCTGGGCCGGTTCTCCGGTTTTCCCCTTCCCTTACTTTCCTCCCTCCCTCCCTTTCCCTCCCTCGCCGATTGTCGCTCGTCCGTCGCAGACTCCCTGACCCCTCCCTAACCCCCTCCTGACCTCGGTGCCGCCGGATTGGCCTCCTTTTTCTGTCTCCCGGCCTAGCCCCAGTGTCAGGGCGGGGGCCTTGAGGAGCCTGAGGCGCTGCCGCTGCAGCTGAGGAGAGACAAGACGACGACGACCCTGGGCTCACCAGCCCGATCTCTGGTTCGCCGCCGCCATGGCAATGAGGCAAACGCCGCTTACCTGCTCCGGCCACACACGGCCCGTCGTTGATTTGGCCTTCAGTGGCATCACGCCTTATGGATATTTCTTAATCAGCGCTTGCAAAGGTGAGCGAGGCCACCGATCCGGGTCCCCGACGGCCAGACTGGGCCGATGCGGGGCGGGCTGCACTCGTCGGTGCCGGAGGGGTGGCGGGATCTTAACCTTTGAGGTGCGGCCAATGCTGGTCTGGTGAGGACAGGAATAGTGTCAGGATCCGCAGCTGGAGCCGAGAGGCTTCCTTTCTGACGCCTCAGACGAGGCTAAGTATTACCACCAAGGCCTCTCCTCATTTTATTTTTATTGCTATTTGTGAAGAACCTGGACCGCACTTGGATAGACGCTCCGGGCAACAAATACTGTAAATATCTTTCAAGGATTTAGGGAAAGGAGAAATTCGACCAGGCCGAGCAATACCTTACAAAGACGTTTGCTTTTGTTATCTCATTGGATATTCCTTTGTGGTATTAGCCCCATTTTTCAAATGGGGAACAGATTTAGGTTACGCAGTGTGTCCATATGAAGACTCAAGTCTAAATTGTTTTGATGCAGATCGGTATTCTCAGCGGATCACAAATGCTTCCCGGAAAGAATGACCGATTCAGCTCTTCAGTTAATTTATTTCTGGACATTTCTTAGTGACCGCCGTGAGTGGGAATAGTTAGACAACAAAAGTGATTTTCCGCTTCGTTGTTCAACATAATCGTTTTATATTTGACAATTTGTAATTCGTGATTTTTTGATTTTAAGTAATTTAAACTTTTAAATCACATGTCTTCTTAAATGTTTTCTAGATGGTAAACCCATGCTACGCCAGGGAGATACAGGAGACTGGATTGGAACATTTTTGGGTCATAAAGGTGCGGTTTGGGGTGCAACATTGAATAAGGATGCCACAAAAGCAGCTACAGCAGCTGCAGATTTCACTGCGTAAGTGTAGCCAAAATGGCTAACTTTGGTTTTCTCTGTGGATTGTGTCCCCAGATAATCAAAAACTTCTACCTTAGTTGTTAATAAAATTCTGACTCAGTGCCTACCATATAGAACATGTGATGTTTGATCTCACCAAGATTCCGTCCTGGTCCTATGTGCTTCTCTTTATACCTTGATTGTGACCTGGGAATCTGCATTATTAACAAGCACTCCAGATAATGTTGGTGATCTTTACACATACTTCTCTGTAAGTGCTCCTATGGCCCTAGATTTTTATTTCACTCTCATTTTTTGTTAACTGGCTTTAGTTATGTTTAAAACTCATTGTGTCCTAAACTCAACTACTGTTTAAGTTTTTAAGGTTGAAATCTAAGTTGTTCTTGATTTTTCCTTACTTCTGGATTATCATCATCTTTTTTGATTCTACCAGCAGAATGTCTTCTTACTACATTGTTTCTCCATGTATCTACCACTGCCTTAGTTCAAAGTCATTTTTAACTCCTTACCACTAGTCTCTTTCCAAATTCCTGCCAATTGTTTTTCTAAAAACAAGTTTCATCATGTCACTTCTGTGCCTCATGATCTTATCTTCCTGTCTATACTTTTCCATTTTAGTGGTTCATGACATTAGGGCTTTCAAAATATTAAAATGCATGTGTCCTAGTAATTCTAATTTTTTTGATAGTTCATTTTCTTTTATCATTGAATAATATTCAGTTGCTTGAATATTATTGTATTAGTGTATCTTGAATTAGTGTATCTCTTTACATTTTGAAGGACATCTTGGTTGCTTCCAGGCTTATTGAATTGGTATAGGGATGGAGTACCCACCGTGAATTTTTTTTTCTTTCCATAAGTACATCTAGGTGATTTTGAAGTACAGTTTTAGAACAACTTGCCTAAAGGATAAATTTCAGTTGTTGGCATCTTACAATTTGGCCTCAACCAGTTCATCAGTATCATTTTCTGGCATTGCACGCCATAACCCTACAGTCTAGATATACTAAACTTATTGTTGCCAAGGGGCACCTTACCTGTTCTGACTTTTGGGTTTTGCATGTGTTATTAAACTGACTTGCAGTGACCCTCTTTGTCCTTTTCAGCATGTATCATATTTTTATAAATCTTGGTATCTCCAGTTTCTACCTGTGTTTGTGACTTAGACACATCAATGCTTAATGAAGACAATGTCAAGAGCTATTGTACATACATAAACTTTTTTTAGACTTAAAAGCTTGGAAAGTAAAAGTGGTCTTGTTGATTTTTTTTTTCTTTCTTCACTAAACACAGTTTCATACTAAGGAGCGTTTGTAAATGTGTTGCCCCTTGGTTTTAAGTAAATTAAACATGCCAAGTTTAGTATGAAAAAAAATAAAGGCAGATTGATTGTGGTGGTGGATACATGACTTATGCACTTGTTGAAACTCATAGACTTGTATACCACAGACTGAATTTTACTGTGTAAATTTAAAAATAAATTAAAAAATTTAAAATAGTATGCTTACATGGGGTTAAATTGGAAAAGATGAGAAAAGATCAGTAATAAAGGTTATAAATGCCAGTCTGAACTTTTTTCTGTGCTCCCAATGAATAGATTGCTGTTGCGTCATTATGCATTACCGTTGTAAAGCTTTGTGCTTTGCCTTGTGATGGTGTGTAATACTAATAAAATAAATGACTTGGTTTTATGTCTTTGCATATCATTAGTTTTCAGGCCAAAAGTTGCTTAAGAAGTCAGCATGCATGCTAATTTATAATGAGACAAAGCACTCCTTTGATGGTTAATTGAAAGTAAAAGCCATTTTCAGATATGGAAGATTTATTAAGGAGTGTTAGAAAGTTAAAATGAAGGTGTCCGTTCCCTCTTGTGCCCATACCATATCCTGTGTTAAAACTTTTGAACTTTTACAGTACTTATTTTTTTATGTGGCATTGCTTCTTAAGGTCAGGGGCCATGTCTTACATTTTTTTAATCCCTGGTTTATTCAGTACCTTATGTTTGTCAAATAAATAACTTGAGGAAATTTTCTAGAAGTAGAAGGATAAAGGATGAGTGAATTATAGATCTTGATTTTGCTTCTGGAGTATTTGTGTCTGTGATTGCCATGAGTTTAGCTTTTTTTTTCTTCAGCTCTTCCAAAGTTTGTTTTCTACTTAGTTCGGTGAGAATATTGTCATTGTAATGAATGTTACTGATTTTATAATGAATGTGGAAAATTGGAATTAACATACACAACTCTAGATTTCAGATATTTGGCAAGCAGATGTTAAAAATTCCATTATGGTAATTAGGTCCTAGTCTAGTGTTGATAAGTTAATAGTTAATAAAATGATTTTTTTTTTTTTTTTTTTTTTAAAGATGACAGGTAAGGGGATCTTAACCCTTGACTTGGTGTTGTCAGCACCACGCTCAGCCAGTGAGCGAACCGGCCATCCCTATATGGGATCCGAACCCGGGGCCTTGGTGTTATCAGCACCGCACTCTACCGAGTGAGCCACGGGCCGGCCCTAAAATGATATTTTAAATTAAATTAACTTAAAAATGTAACAAGAATTTTAGGCATTGCAGACATTGGCATTAAAAGAGACAGGCTTTTGGATTGCAGTATTGGAAAGATATGTTTTTGTTGACCTCCATTCTATTGTTATCTTGCCCAATTACATAAACAATGCTTTATCACCTCCTGCTTGATGGTCTTATAATGATTCTTAAGAGAACTGTGCAAAAGCTTGTTAGGGAAGGTGCCTGTCTCCTTGTAAAATCATTACACTGTTGTTGTGCATTACGCTAAATTGTATTTGCAGCTCTCAGGAAAAGAAATGAAGAGCAATAGCTAAAGGTGCCTGTCTCCTTGTAAAATCATTACACTGTTGTGCATTACGCTAAATTGTATTTGCAGCTCTCAGGAAAAGAAATGAAGAGCAATAGCTAGAAATTACTATTCATGTGACAATTACTTTGAAATGAAGAGAGAAAAAGGTATGAAAAAAATATGGCACTTTCAGTAGTTAACAGAGTTTTGAAGAGTAGTCTAGATTTTATCTTGCTGCTAGAAGAACAGTTACCTTTGTTCATTTACAGAGCATTGCTAACTAAACAAAATCACACGTTTAAGGACATGCTTGTGGATAGTTATTCAGTGTTGTTTGTGTGCTTTCTTAACATTTCATGTTTACAGGGGGTATTAGGAGCACGAACGCTGGAGACAGATGGCCAGTATTTGAATCCTGGTTCCATCTAATGTCTCTGTGACCTCAGGCAATTTATTTAATCTCTCTTTTTCTCAATTTTGTCATCTGTAAAAATGAAAATAGTAAAAGTATCTATCTCATAAGTTGGTTGTGAATATTGAATAAGTTAGTATGTTTCAAATACTTAGAACATTGCCTAAAATCTATTCAGAACTATGTAAGTGTTAGATATGTGGGGTAACAATGATAGCCACCACCATCACCACATTACCATCCCCACTAGACCAAAATCATATATTATGCATGTTATTTTAAAATTTCTATGGCTAAAGCCATGAAACCATATAGTTTCATGCAAGAAACTTTGAGTACATTTAAATGTCATGAAGATTTTTGTTAATTTTTTCCTCAATTGAGGCTTTAGGAGCTGTGGTAGAGGTGAAAAGGTGTAATAAGTCTTGGCAGTAGGTAGGCCTGAGTGAATTCATGTGCTGGCTATATTGTGTATTTCCAGTTTGATCATAGGATGTTTCTTATAGTTGTAAAATGGGATTAAGACCCACAAAGTTATTGGGAGATGCAGAGAGATCTTTCTCCACTGTATCCTTGGAGTGTAGTGTAAGATGTAGCATAGTGTAGATAGGATGTAGAGTCTGTCACATAGTATGTGTTCAGTAAATGGTAGCTAGACTTATCCCCTCATTTCTTCTATGTTGTCTGAGTATGTGTGTTTATGGGTTTATATTCTCCCCTTTTAATGACTTGTATGAGGCTTGCTATGATGGAACTTGATCCAGCTAATGAGTAGCTCTCTCCAACTTAAATGATTCTTCATATTTTGTATAAATCATTTTTAGGAAAATCTCTTTTTTCCCCATTTTTATGTTTCTTAGAAAACTCATTTTGACTTGATCATCTAGAGGTGAATTTTGTATCTGTTGTGGAGAAATTATATTCAGCAGAACTGGTCTGTGGGTCAGTTTAGAATGTTATCTTGAAGTAATTTGGATAGTTGAGTCTGGTGATGAGTACTTTGTTCCTGCAATACTATCCTCTTTGTATCTTTCCATTCCTAAAGCCAGTGTTAGCATTACTTTATGTATTAATACATTTTCTGTTCCTTATAACAGAATACTTGAAACTGGGTAACTCATAAAGAAATTAAATATATTTCTTACAGTTTTGGAGGCTGGGAAGTCCAAGGTCCAGGGAACACATCTGGTGAGGGCCTTCTTGGTGGGAACTCTCAACAGAGTCCCGTGGCTACGTAGGGTATCACAGGGCTGGGCAAAAGCACTGCCAACTTGCTCACTGGCTCTCCTTATAAAGCTCCTAGTGTCACTCCCATGATAACCATTCATCCCTTAACCCATTAATCCATAAATAGATTAATCCATTCATGAGTGCCTAGCCATCGTGGTTCAGTCACCTCTTAAAGGACCCACCTTTCAAATACAATATTGGGAATTAAGCTCTAACATGAGCTTGGGGGGCATTCAAACCTTAGCACTTCTCGTGGTTTTCTCTGTACTTTCACTTTCCTCCCATCAGAATCATCTGGGGAGAGTGCCAAAGTAGAAAAGATTCCTCTGTTGTGCTTCAGAGCGCTTAAGGAGATCTGGGGTTGGGCCCAGTAATCTATAGGTAATCAAATGGTATGATCACTTTTTCTTTCTTGTAAAAGTCTCAAAAGAGAGTTACTGGTAAGTCCATTCTCAGGATATGGTTAATTATTGGAGATGAGGATAGATAGAAGGTTTAATGAAAAGATAGCATTTGAAATTAGCCCTGAGGATGAGTAGAACTTTAGCTGAGAATATAAAATACAGATTTAAGAGAGCAACGTGAACAAGGACATAGAAGCCTGGAGGAAAATACATGGCTTGTGTGAGGAATGTCTTATAACCAACCTGGTGTGGCTAGATTCAGAGAAATAATCCAAAATAAGGCCAGGGAAGTAGATTGGGGCCAGAGAATTGAATCGGAATGGGAGAGACTGGAGCAGGTTTCCTGTGCAAAGAAAAATGAATATTTGGGAGTTTTAGTTGCAATACTACTCATAGTTGACATTATTTCTCTCAGAACATATTTATTCATCCACTCATATGACCCATTATGTAATATGCAAGGTTTGCTATTGTATCATCACTATTCCTGTTAGATGATCTTTTATGTTTCTTAACCATTATACATGCTATTAATGCTTGTCTAGAATAGCTTTCCCTTGTTTTTCTCCTGATTTATTTCTGCTTGCTCTTTAAAGATCACTAGCTTTGTTGCTAAGATTTTCTGGACTTTTCTGGCATAATTAGTAATGTGTTTTTTTCTGAGTTTTTATAGCTCTATGCAAGTATACTTGTCTTTTAAATTATATTTGTTAAATGTGCTGTTTAACGGATGTCTTCTCAGCTAAAGCTCTACGAAGGCAGGGACTTTCTGTGGAATTACATTTTCTCCCTTTTGTGTCCTAGCACTGTCTCGAATGACAGTATATCTTTGGTATATTTATCATGTGTTTATTGAGTAAGCTAAAGAAAAGATAGCCTTGCTTTTCACTGTTTTTGTTTTTTTCTCTACTGTTCTATTGACCGCTGTGTTCCTAAAAGTAAATGTCAATTACATTTAAATGGAAATCTGTAGAGCATAGCTTCTTCACTTGTTAATAGTTTTTCCCTGTGTGCAAAGTTTTCTTGTTTATTTTTCACTGACCTCTTCTGATCTAAAATTACTGTGTTCCTAAAAGTAAATGTCAATTACATTTAAATGGAAATCTGTAGAGCATAGCTTCTTCACTTGTTAACAGTTTTTTCCCTGTGTGCAAAGTTTTCTTGTTTATTTTTCACTGACCTCTTCTGATCTAAAATTATTTTCTTCTTCTTCTTAAGTTTTTTTTATTTGAGGATCCCTTTAGAGTACCCCCTTGACATATACACATACACGTATATACACACAATCACTGACATATTTTTGGGTGGGGTTGGTCGAGGAAAACAAATGTAACGTAGAGATTAAAGTTCTTAATGTTAGCATTGTAATCAAAAGCTGATACTTTGGGGGAAATTAATTGAACTGGGATTTGAAAATTTGTCAACTTTGAGGGAGAATATTTTCTCCACCATCTTTTTTTTAAAAAAAAAAAAAAAAAAACAAGTGAGCCTACCTTTGAATCTCCATTATCTTGATTTAAAATTTTACAGAATCTGTATCAAAGCCTTTTATTGTCCTGTACATTTCTTAAGGATTTCTTGTTTTTCATTTAGCATGTGAATAGAGGATAGAGGAAAAAATGGCATGGTGAAATGAAAAATTGGTTAAAATGTTTTGCAGGCTTGCTAAAAGTATATTAATTAAGGCTATGGGCTAAAAGTAAATAGGCTGGGTTGATTCATGAATCTTACTTACTTAAATTCTTCATATCTTTTCCACCTTCAATAAATGTTATATTGGTTACAAGGCTTTTATGGAGAAATTTATTTTCCCTTAGACTCATTTAGGTATTTTATCAAATGAAGTCTAACAGTGGGCAATGTTAGAGATAAAGGAGATTTATATAAGCATTTATATAACATTTCACATATCTAACTTTTTTGGTAATCATCAAAAGTACCTTTATATTTATCTTTTTAATATATTGAGTAATATTTATCCTTTCAATTTTATTTTTTTATTTTAGCAAAGTGTGGGATGCTGTCTCAGGAGATGAATTGATGACTCTGGCTCATAAACACATTGTCAAAACTGTGGATTTCACGCAGGTATCAGAAAATGGAATTTATTTTAGGGAGTTAAATTGCTGTTATCATATGGTATGATAATAGTTTTAAATATTATTGGATTGTATATTTGGTTTATATTTTTTGTGGACTATTTGGTATATATTGGTTTATATTGGATTTGATTGTATGTTAAGCCATAGAACTTGTTTTTTCTTGGTTGATCTTAAGAGGCTGTGAAGACAACCTGAAACTCTTGTATCAGTCCTCCAACAATAGCTACAAATATCTAAAAAGCCCAAATAACCTTTCCTAACTATTTTCAGAAGGGGGAAGATAAATTTGAGATAATCAAAAAAGTGCTACTCAGAAAGGGAGGGGAGCAGGATTGGGGCAGAATGAGAGAATTCATGTGGTGAGTGGTTAGTGCTGTAGTGTAAATAATACATTTGAACTGGGAAGCGTAAAGGAATTGGCATTTTTGAGAAGGGCAGCTGTTCTGCAGCATCTTCTAAGAAGTAGTTGGTTTTTTGTGATGTCTGTGAGCTGCATTTGGATTTTATTTGGTGTTGAAGAAGTTTCAAAAAGAAATATCTATTGAAATGAATAGTCTATTAATATTTTACTTGTTTGTGTTTTCAGGATAGTAATTATTTGTTAACTGGGGGACAGGATAAACTGTTACGCATATATGACTTGAACAAACCTGAAGCAGGTAAGGGTAATTTATGCATCAGTTTGTGTTTTTATTTTCTTTTTATTTAAATAACTTTGATTAAAGGAATTTGGTTAGTACTCAAATTTGGAAAATAAAGATAATCATAAAGAAGAAAATTAAAGCATGATCTAACATCTAGTATCAAGCACTGTTAATATCTTTAGGTGTTGGTTCATATCCTTCTAGTCTTTTTTTCTGTTCAAATATCCACTTTAATATTGGTTTATTTACTACATTACTCTTGTATAGCCTTCTTACAGTTAAAAAATTTGTCATGGTAAATTTTTATCATGATATTAAATTTTAAAAAGGTATGTAATACCCCCAGCCCTGTATATTTGACTGGCTTAAAAAAAAAGTGTAGAACAGTGTAATTACCTTTTGGTAAGAAAGAGTGGTTATCTGTAGAAGGTGAGGATGGTGAGAATTCTCGGTGTATATATATATTATTCAGATTTTTGAGTCATGTGAATGTATTAGGTATTCAAAAGAATTTTTTAAAACCTGCAATGACAATTTTTTCATGTCACTAAAGATTCTATGAACTGTTTTTAATAACTACATGTTGCTTCATCCTATGGATATTTCGTAAGTGAGTTAACCAGTTTCCTATTATGGCCTGTTCGGGCTGTTTAACAAATGTTAAATATTAAAAACAATATTATGCTAAACATCTTTATAGTTGGAAGTATTTTCACAGCGGTTTCCTTAGGATAACCATACAAAAGTAGAATTGTTGGGACAAAGAGGAATAGAATTGTTGGAAGCCATTGATAGTAAATATTTTCAAAGTGCTTTACAGCAAAATATAAATATGTGTCTGTAGCTAAAACACTGATAACTAACTTTATTTTTGCCAATTTAATAAAAAAAAATGCTTCTGTTGTATTAATGTGAACTTTAAAAAGTTATTCATGAGATTAAAATGCTGTTGAGTACCATTTTAATGTATTTCCTCTTTTATGAACTAATTTCCTGTTCATGCCCATTGCCTGATTTATATGTTGTGTTGTTCATCTTTTTCTCACTGGTTCATAAAGGTTCTTTATTGCATTCTATTTGTCATTTGCTTTTAAACTTTGTTAATAAGGTCTTGTGGTACATACATTTTAAAAATTTTGGTGGTAAAATCTATCATTTCCTTTTTGAATTCTGTCATTGTACAGTAGTAGTAGATATCTTCTCTCCCCAAGTCCAGCTATTCACCTCTATTTTGTAGTATTTTAATGATTTCCTAGCCATATACGTATTTAAACAGCATGAAAAACAGAATTTTGTTTTGTTATATGTTAGTATCATTTACGTTTTGTACGATGGGCATTTATTATCTGTTCATAAATCTATAACATTTAAGAGTAGTAGGAGAGTCAGAACTATGTTGGAAATTAAGCAATTTTTTTCTTGAGATATCTTCTGTTTTAAAAGCATTTCTAAAGTGAGGCAACAAACTCCATTTATAGATTTCTTATTCTCCATTGGTACCTAGGAAATTTTCTCTCCATTCTTCTTGATAAGTTTATGCCAAGACATAGCAAAACACTCTGTCCTCACTTAGCAAACCTGTCCGACACAGCAAGGTAGTTCAGGGCTTGGATGAACATTTTATCTTTCCCAAAGCTACTTTTTGAAAGTTGCTCTTCCACCGTACCAGCAATAGAAATGATAGATATGAACTGAGGCTTTATTGTATGTCAGACATCATGTTAAACACTTCAGATGTATATTTTCATTTGGTCCTCACAGCCAAACTATGAGGTATAGTAACTATTGTTATCCCGTTTTACAGATGAAGAAATGCAGTTTTCAGAAAGTTAAGCAACATGCCCAGAGTTAAAGTAGTGTTGAATGGCATTGCCTCCAGAACCTGCTTTTGCCGAGAGATAACAATGAGGAGTTTTTGAAATCTTTTGAAGGGGTAGTCTCCTACATAGACAGGTCTTCTTTCTTTCTTTTTTTTTTTGGTGCTTTCCTCTCAGTGTAGGAACATTTCTTTTTTTTTTTTTTTTTTGGTGCTTTCCTCTCAGTGTAGGAACATTTCTGGTAATTGCTGCGCTACTGTTTAATTTCCATTTTTTCCTTCCAGCCTTTACTTCCCCCTTTTTTTCCATAGCTACTACACATAGCAGCTTGGGTGAAGCTCTGCAGTAGTACTAGGATTAGCTCAGGCCTTCTTGTTTCTGGGTTCATTTTTTTATTAAATTACACCACATTAGTTATTCTATTTAACTGAGGTAAAGTAATGCTTTTGAATATTGGTTGTGCAGAAAATTAGCCTAGGGAGAGTGAGTTTACATTCACTTTGCTACATATAGCAAGCATTGTAGTTCTTGGGTTCCTAGTCATGAAGATAAATTTTTGTTCCAGTATAGAAAAACTAAATGTATTTTATGTAAATATCAAGTTTTAATTGTGCTGGGCTTTGAAAAGTTGCATTCTAATTTTAAATGTGCTTGGTTTTTTTGGCATTTATTTTTCCCCCACATATTTGAATTTTTCCAATATTGCTCAGTTTAAAAATCAGATATTAACAAATATATTCTAAATTGTTTCATCTTAAGAACCTAAGGAAATCAGTGGTCACACCTCTGGTATTAAAAAGGCTCTATGGTGCAGTGAGGATAAACAGATTCTTTCAGCTGATGATAAAACTGTTCGGTAAGTAATTTTTCTTTAATAATTTAAAGTTTGAAAAATATTTTATCTTAGAGCTTATTTTAAATATTTTTAATAACTTTTGTAGGCAAAATGGTCTGTACATTAAAATTTACGTTACACACAGGTCACATTTATCTGGAGCTATCCATTTACTATTACATACATACAGTGTATTTATAAGAAATTTAGTTAAAACTACTGACACCATTAGAAGCATGTGTTCTTAACCTGGATCTATGGATGGTCTGGCTAAATGGGGTCTGTGAAGCCACTGAAATTCTATACAAAATTTTGTGTGCTGACACCTGATGCACTTTTCTGTAGAAAGAAATATAAGATTCACAAAAACAGTGTTAAGAACCACTATTTAGAGCAATGCTGAAATTGATTAGATTAGGACTTGAGTGTTTAAGCATAGTTTTGCTAAGCTGTTTGGGAAGTATATTTAGGTATTAAAGTTGATTTCACCAACAAGCTACCAAATATTTTGACATTTTATTGAAACCCAGAATTTCTTTATCATCTATATTTGTGACTTGGAGTGAATGTTGTTTCACTACAATTGTGATTATTCTTTCATTTGTTTAATCTGCAGTTGTAATTAGAATTTAAGCTTTTTTCTTATGTGAGTAAATATTACTGTATTTCCTCCTTTCTTTTTGCAGCCTCTGGGATCATGCTACCATGACAGAAGTGAAGTCTCTAAATTTTAATATGTCTGTTAGTAGTATGGAATATATTCCTGAGGGAGAGATCTTGGTTATAACTTATGGACGATCTATTGCTTTTCATAGTGCAGTAAGGTATGTTCAAGAAATACCTTCATTTTCTTTTTTGGGTAACAAAGGATAATTATGGTACTTAAAAATCGGAAGACATGTGAAAGGCATTTAATGCTTTTAAAGGCAAATTTTGACCCATATTATACAGTATGGAGGGAAATGTTTCCATATCCATTATTGTGTGTTTTATAAGAATCTGGTGTACTTTAATCAGAGGAATTAAACAAATTAAGTTCCAGGTATTTAGGACATTTATTGGTAAAATTCAGCAACTTTTAAATTATATTTTTCTTAAAAGAACCACTGGATTGGTGCTGTAATTAATGTTGGGTTTTTTTGGTGGCTGGCCAGTAAGGGGATCTGAACCCTTAACCTTGTTATGAATGCCATGCTCTAACCAAGTAAGCTAACCAGCCAGCCCTAATTAATGTTTCTTGTTCCCAAGCATGTGCAGACCTAATGATTTTTTTTAATAGTCTTAAGTTTTGTGACTATAAATATAGAAAATGTTCTCGTAAAAAATTTGGAATATATATCACAGTTAAAAAAAATTTACCTACTGTGTTATAGCCATAGATGCCATAGATGCCAGAATGTTAATGGTAGCTAAATTTTCTGCTAGACTTTTTTTCTGTTATACCTAAAAGTGTGTATACTTGTGTTTTTTTTCTTTTGTTACTAGGACCATAATGAATGCAATTTTGATTCTGAAAAAAATATTCCTCGCCATTAAAACTTCTTTGAAAACATTTTTACTAGATACTGCATTATAGGTTGTACTAAATTATGTATCAATTCGTCTGTTTTATCACTGCAGTGAGTGTTATGGTACATCTCTGTTTCCTTACAATAGAATCCTGTAAGTAGAATTACGGTTCAAAGGGTAGGAATGAGTTTGAGTTCTTATGGCACCTAATTGATTTCCATGAAGCTTATACCTCATTACTCTCTGACCAGCAGCCCTTACCTTCTTTCTAAAGGGCCTTTTGCAGAGCTAAGCTTCACTGATGGGAGAAGGAAAGAGAAGGCAGTAAAATTGGAGATGAGCAATTAAGAATGTAAAGGAGTTTATATATACACAGTGAATTGATAATAGCAGAATACTGTTGCATAGAGCCATCAAATTATACAGCCATATTAAGGCTCAGTCCTGGAGTTAGGCAACATGCAGCCTTGCTGTAGACCATTGCCTCAAATCCCATTTTGGTGGCCGAGGTTTAAAACGCTGGCCGATTGAATATTCTAACATTTAAGCCAGAAAGTTGCTATTCAGTGATTCTGTATAAGTTATAACTAACTTTAATTTTCAAGCTTTATAGCATCTTATGATGGGAGTAGGAGGGTGGCATTTAAGAGCTGGAATGCTATAATGTTTTGCATTTGGGGTCTTTTATGATTTTATAGGGTTAAAATGAAAAAGAGCCAGTGTCCAAAGTGTAATTGATTTTCATTCAGTTAAAGCTGTTGTTATGCATTGATTTTTATTGTATAACTGTAGTCTCAAATTTGTTAAGTCTTTTACTGCCTGATAATAAAAACTGAGCTGTCTTAGCAGTTTTATATTTTATAGTATTGAAGGTTAATCTTGTTGCAGAAGCTAAACACTAGTGTAAAAACTTTTTTCTATTAACAAGATAGTGCATGCTTGTTATAGAAAAATCAAACAGTACAGAATGAAATTTTTAAAAAAGAAAAATCTCAGTATATTATCCATACTGTTTTAATGTGCCAGCACACTCATTTCCAGGAAGGCATCCGTTGCACTAAGTGTGGATAATTCCTCTATTGAAATGTCTTTGTATTCCTGAGATGAACTCCACCTGGGCATAATATCCTTCTGAATTTTTTTTCTAACATTATTTAGAGTTTTTTTACATCACTGTTTATGTTTGACTAAATGAATATTTAATTTTCTTTGGGTTTCAGAATTTAGGAACTATTTAAGCATAAAAAATTATTTTCTTGTACAAGTATTATTTATATAATATTCAAAATTTGTAAATATTTATTATTTAAATGTTTTTTCCAGTTTGGACCCAATTAAATCCTTTGAAGCTCCTGCAACCATCAATTCTGCATCTCTTCATCCTGAGAAAGAGTTTCTTGTTGCAGGTGGTGAAGATTTTAAACTTTATAAGTATGATTATAATAGTGGAGAAGAATTAGGTGAGTTGTCCTCTTCTTCCCTTAAAGTGATGTAGTTACCTTTATCAAATGTTGCATTCTGGTAATTAACTCCTCATTTATGTACGTAACACAATGAAAGCAAATTTTTCAGCTAACTGAAGCTTGGTGTGTACAAGTGAAAAAGTAAAGTTTTACTCATTTTGGATAGAAATTTTTGTAGACCCATAAACAAAGTATGCTTAACTCAGTTTTACCTTTTCCTTTTAACTGAAGTTCATCCTTATGCCGATGATCTGTACTATAGTGCAGATTTTCAGGCTTTATTTGGGGAGAGAGAGGTGCCATCTTATGCCAAAGTCATGTATTAAACAGATGCAAGGAGATTTGTTCTTTCTCTGATATGGGTGTGTAACCCCACCTACCTGGTCCCCCTTACTTTTTTCCAATTTGGAATCCCTAAGACTTTATAGAGAACAGTGTGGGGGGAAAAACACTGTAGCATATTATAAGGATACCTTTAGGAGTCTGAATTGGAGAGTTATTTTTTTTATTTGTTTTTATTTTATTCTTTTTTGAAGTCTGAGTTTTGTGTCCATTTTTATGATAATAGTCCTTAATAAAGGAAAAGGGAAAGGCATGTGGGATTAATTTGAGGTTAATGCATATTCTAACTTTATATTTATCTGATGGACCAGATATTTCATGTAGCTAAGTTTGGTTCTTGGTATGTACTTTTAGGCTTCACAAATAATTTTTGCTTTTAGTTCAAAAATGCATTTAGGATTTTTTGTTGTTGTTGTTGTTGTTTGTTTTTAATTTCAGTAATATATTTTACATATTTACAAAGGGTCTTCCAAAAGTTTATGGAAAGATTAGTACTTTCGTTTTTTTTTTTCCTCCAACAAATACATGTTTATTGAATGGATGGATGAAGAGCCAACAGGTTGCTTTTTTTTTTTTTCCCTTAGTTTACTCATGATAATTGTATATTTTTATGGAGTATAATATATTTGGGTATTGGGCCAGCCCGGTGGCGCACTCGGTAGTTCGGATCCCATATAGAGACTGGTCCGCTCACTGGTTGAGCGGGTTGCGATCCCGTTACCGGTCACGAAAAAAGACAAAAAGGGGAAAAAAAATATATATATATATATATATTTGGGTACATTTATAGTGTGCAATGATCATGTCAGGGTATTTAGCATATTCATCACCTCACACATCTTTTACCTCTTTGTATTTAGTTTTTATAATTTTTTTCTGTTTGTAAGCAACTTTTTGTCTGTTTCTAGCTGTTTGCTTTACCACCCAAAGAACTAAGCTTGCTAGAATTATACACAAAGAACAAAACACAATTTTATCTTTTGTATCTTGGAGAAAACTGATGTATTTGGGTTACACAAATGGAGCCTTGCTGAATGGACCATGTAGAATCTATTTTAATTGTTTATGGTTCACCCTTTATTACTAGAACGTAAGTGACCTTTAAATAAGAGATTTTTTCCCCATTGTTTTTACTTAGTGCCAATTTTCAAAGTTTTACAATGTTTCAGACACATGTTTTGTTCTTTTTCAAGATAAGAGAACGGAATTATTTGCCTGAGATCTGAGGTCACAAGTTAGTGAATGCTGGACCTTGGACCAAGCCATTCTCATTTGAAAACCTCATGTTCTTTCTACTCTCATACCTTTTCTATTCCTTGGTTGGACAGAGGTGGGGAACAGAACAGGAACGTTCTAGTAAAGAGCTTTGAGAACTAAAAAGGTGATGAGGCATTAGAAAGTAAATGTGAAAGATTCATAAAGGTACAATTTAAACAGATCATTGCTCCTAATCTGTACATTTTCTTACTTGATTTCATAGATTAACTATTTAAGGATCACTGTTGATCCAGTAACTCAACTTTATGTGTGACAGAATAGTTAGTGGACTAGATAGCCTGGTAGGAAATTGAGGCAAAATGTACGAAAGAGCTCCATCTGGTGGCTCTCAATAGTTATAATAAGAATTGGTTCTCTAGTAAATAGGCAGTGAGTTTAAGGTATAGAAATTGGGATTGAACTGACAGACTTTAGATCTAGTTTCTATGGAATATATGGGGTTTTCATTTTCCCTCTAATTCCATTCTTAATGGGACATGAAGCCCCATTTTCTTTTTTTAGGGAGACAATTTGAAATTATAATGTGTGCTAGATTTGGAAAAGGATATCTTATGGAGAAATGGTAGACGTGATGTACCACTTAGTGATGAGAATTAATTTATTTTAATTAAGTACAGTTCTTCGTATTTGCCCTATGAATTTTGCATCTCCCAAGTAATATAGATAGTATTTTCTTTAGTTTCAATACTTAACCTAATAGTTAAGAATTAAATTATCTAATAGCCCTCATTCTTTTTCAGAATCCTACAAAGGACACTTTGGTCCTATTCACTGTGTGAGATTTAGTCCTGATGGAGAACTCTATGCTAGTGGTTCTGAAGATGGAACATTGAGACTCTGGCAAACTGTGGTAGGAAAAACATATGGCCTTTGGAAATGTGTGCTTCCTGGTAAGGATTTTTATTGAGTTATCAAATTCAAATGTATGGTTTTGTGTCATTTTTCTTCCATCCTCTTTCAGTGTTTCTGTCTCCTGTAGATTTTAAATTATTTAATATGTTTTAAGCAAAGAGAAGCCAATATTTATATGTTGGCCACTATGTTCGTTTGTTTAAATTTTTTTGTTGTATAATCTGTTCTGTTCCTAAATTTTTATACTAGCTCATTTGGTGAATGAAATGGACCCAATGCAAAATTTGCTATAGGGCAGTATAAGGAATTTACAAGTAAATATATCTAATCTTTGAGTAGTAGTATTCTGTGATTTTTACCAATAAGGTAGACATGTTTTTAATAAAAAAATACCTAGTAATTGATCTCAAAGTAGTTGTGGTATGAATCTAAAAGTAATTTTTAATTTTTGTGTGTGTGTGTGTTTGTTGTTTTTTGGTGCCTTGGCCAGTTCAGGGATCTGAGCCCGTGACCTTGGTGTTACAAGGTGGCACTCTAACCAACTGAGCTAACTGGCCACCCTCTAGAAGTAATTTGTGAAGAAAGATTTACTACTTTAGAATAGCAATTGTTAAAAAAAGAGTTGTTCCTATTATGTTTTGTAGCTCATTGCTTGGTATAATTATGTCTTACTCTTCTTCCTTATTAAATACTAGAAATTACTTGTAGTGTTGTAATTCACATAATCAGTCATCTTGCTTTTCTTTTCATAGAAGAAGATAGTGGTGAGCTGGCAAAGCCAAAGATTGGTTTTCCAGAGACAACAGAAGAGGAGCTAGGTAAATACTAAATAATTGACTTTGTAAGAGTTCTGGGGGATTTAAAATTGAAATGTTAAGTTTTACTCATTGGCAAAAGAAATTTATTACATGTAAATATATTTAGATAATGGAAAGTTTAAACATTTATATATATAGATAAACTAAATGTTTACCTACTGTGCAATAGTAGGTGCTATGATGTAGTGTGGACATGACTGATGTGTTTACTCTTACATAACTTAGAGTGCAACTTGGAGACAGATGCTAAAACAAATAAACAAATTATTACAATCATAAGGGGAATTAGGGAAAGCTTCCTGGAGAAGTGACAATTAAATTGGGGCCTGAGGATGAGCAAGAGTGACTTAGGTGAGATTGTGAGATGGGGTGTTGTGGAGACAGGATGGAAGAGATCACAGCAGAAAAAAAAGATATTAACTAAGGCTCAGAAGCAAAAAGGAACACAGCATATGAGGAACTAGAAGAACTTTGCTATGCCTCCAGGTTAAAGAGCAAGGGCAGTGTGAGGCTGGAGAAGCTAGATCATTTAGGGGCATCATTTCCTGTATTAGGACTTGAAGAGTTATATTTAGAGCAACGAGAAACTTTGAATTTTAAGCAGAGGAATAGTAATAAATTTAGATTTAAGTTTTTAATGATTGTAGTTTGTACAAAGAATTGGACTGGGGACAAGAGGTGAGGACAGACCAGTTAGGGGACATTGAATCTAGATGATCTTGTCATGTGGTTTTGAATAAGGAAATGTCAGTGAGGACAGAAAAAGGTAGATGGAGTTGAGAGTTTTTAGTGGTAAAAAATTAAGACTTGGTAATTTTATTACATTGCTGAATTGGGGTATAATAAGGAAAATTTCAGATTGCTGGCATGAGAAATTTGGTATGATTTTTGGAGACATTGGGAAGGTGTTTACCATTTATCCAATTAGTTTTCCTTAATTTTTTTATTGTTAAACATCTTGCTAAACAATGTCTGGTGGTTAATGTTTTGATATGGATAGTATTAGATACAAGGGGTCTTCAAAAAGTTCATGGATAAATAGATACTACTAATCTTTCCATGAACTTTTTGAAGTACCCTCATACTGGGATTTGAATTACTAAAGGAGAGAGCCAGATCTTTCAAAAAGGCATGACTTTAATACAGGGTTTTTTGGATAGCTAGAGTCATTGAAAATTTAGCCCAGAAGAGTGGACATGTGCAGTTGCCTTCTTTTTCTCCCCTCTCACCACATGCTTTAAAATTTTTTATTCCTTCATTAAACAGAAATGTAGATTTGTTTCTTTCCTTTATTAAATTAACTACTGAGATTTTCTGTTTTTTTAATTGTAGAAGAAATTGCTTCAGAGAATTCAGATTCCATCTATTCTTCAACTCCTGAAGTTAAGGCCTGAGCATCAAGCATATGTGACAGATAGTATACAACTTACGGACTAAAACAACAAGCAGAGAAAAGCATCAGCCTTACAGAGTTACTCTCTGCTTAAGGCAAACGCAGCAGTAAATAATGGGAAATATGAATTAGCTCCAGTGCGGGAACGACTAACTTGGTGTGACCCATGAGTGAAAATTCATGAGCATCAGATGAAGGCAGGTGGAGTTATGCTCTTAGAGTACGACAGCCTGTTGTGTTTTTAATTAATGAGTATGTGCAAGCCAACATCCAATTTCTCTTATTACAGTTAGATTTCATGTAGCTGTTTATGTTATTATGGAGAAGAAAAATATATTGGCCTATTTTTCTGACTTCCCTTAAAGCAGGATGCCTTTTTTTTTTTTTTTTTGCTTTAGTTGTAAAAAAGAGGGAATACATGATAAAGTACTGGTTTGATTTCTCTTTCATTGTACACTGCTTCTGAACATCTAATTGTTTTTAGTTGTCCAAATAAAATGTGTCTAAAACAAAACAATGTTTCTTTCTTTGGGAAATACTGATAGATTTGAGTTTCATAAATAGCCAGAAAGTTTTTCTCCGTCTTAACCGTAGCAGAAGACAATTTGATTAAAGAATCAGCAGTAAACATTTTTTCCAAATTTTGAAATTCAGTTACTTCTACTGAATTTTTGAATTTTCATGTCCTTTACTGGAGTTGCATTTACCACCCCTCCCAGACTGGATAGAAATACTTGAACTTGCCTTTTAAAATGACTTTATATTTAAATGCTGTATGCTAGTTATAAAAAAATATAAAGCAATTAGAATTAAAGATAGTAGAAAAATCACTTAAAATCTCATCTCCCTCCAAAAAACTATTAAAATTGAGAGACGGTTAATGCACATTAGTGAGTCTCTGTCTACGTATATACACATAGATAAAGATGCTTTTATGAAAATGGGATAACTGTAGACCTGCAGTGTTTTTTAAGAAGTATCAAATTTTATTTTAACTTGTTCTTTAAGTTGGGGTGGCATTTAAAAAGCCATTTTATCAACCTTCTAATAAATTGGATCAACTTAGTTTAAACTTATAATTTATTTTTTAAAATATGGAGGGGATATTAAACTAGTAATTTGGAAATACTTTAGACCAATGAATAATATCTCTGCCAATTTGCTTTTTCTCTCCTGATGGATCATGTGAATGACTTGATGATAACTCTTCTTGAAAGAAATAAGAACCAGTTGCATTAGTCCGTTTCTGTTTCTTATAACAAAATACCTGTAACTGGGTGATTTGCTTTATAAATGACATTGCCTACAGTTTCAGCGCCTGGGAAGTCCAAAGTCCATCTAACGTATCTGGTGAGGGTCTTTGGTGGTGGCTCTAGATTAATGCAGGGGTCTCTCATTGCAGAAAATGGCCGAGCCATTCAGCCTGCCTGTGACCACCATAGTTTAATGGCATAGTTAGGTGTTCTACCTTAACCTTTAATAAGCATATCAGACTTTATCTAACACAAATCTTGATTTTTCAGCTGAACCTGTTTCTCTCTCAGCTTGTTTCCCATTCCAGTAACTGGCACTACCTTCTACTCACTTGTTCAGACTAAAAGATGTGGCAGTCTTTGACTCCATTCTCTCTCATCCGCATGTCTTAGTCTATCAAGTCCTATGGACTCTTCTGAATCTGTACTTTGCCTTATGTCCATTGTTACTAGGCTAGACTGCCTTTCTCACTTAGACTATTGCAGTGTCTTCCTAACTGCTCCCTCTTGCCCCCTACTCTCCCTCCGCTGGCCCTCATCCCAGTTATCTACAGTAGGAAAGGTCATTGCTTTAGGATATGAAGAGACTAGGTGACTGCCTTGTTTAAATCTGTAATGGCTTCCCATTACACCAAATTTTTACCATGATTTGGTTTCTGCCTTCTGTGACCTTTTCATATTTCCCTTGCTTGCACTGCTCAAACCACAGTGGCCTCATTTCTGTCTCAAGGCCTTTTCACTGTTTCTACTACTTTTTCTACTCTTCCCCAAATGTTTGCGTGACTCACCCTTTCTTGTGATTCAGTTTTCAAGCCCTGCTGTGTCCCTTCCTATTTTACTGTATTTTATTTGTAGTTCTTAAAACACTATATGAAATTATTCTGTGTATTTTTCGTCTTCACCAATCCTACTACCTTTGCCTAGAAAGGTGGCTGGTATGTTGTGAGTGCTCAGTCGTTGTTGAAACAAGTCCCTAAATTAGCACCAAATCATATCAGACCAGGAAGACTAATTTCTAGTTAACCTGCATGCAGTAGGCTGTCCTCTCCACTGAAGTGTCAGACATAGCAGGAACCTATTAAAAGCCCTTGTCTGTCTGGTGAACCCGTGTTCAACCTCAGCCAATGTGAGACTCAGTTACCCAGGAGGGGTCTAGCTTGTATGATACAATCTCATCTCCACTCACTCTGCTTCCTCATTCCATTCATCCTCTGGAGCATCCTGTCTAGGTTCTAATGTTCAGTAGGTCATGGTATCCCAAGTTCCCACCTAATATTACAATTTACCTTCTATTGAATCATTAATTCTCAATTTTAGTGTTGTCCAGAGGTTACTTTCAGGCAACCATGCTTGAGTGTGGTCAGCCAATTCTCTTGAGAGTATTTTTAATGTCAATAAAGTTCAACACATTCTTTTTAATGGTTACAAAATAGCAAAGATGTGCCATAATTTATAATAACTTACAGGTTACATTTTTTTAGTAATTGCTCAAATTCAGTGGGGGTATTAATGTAGTTGCCTTTTCTTCTGTAAGACCAAGGTGGGGAGAAAAAGGACATAATTTTTCATAAGGGGGCAACAGCAAAATGGGGCTTTGAGAAAGCAGACCAAGGGAAGATATTTCTCTACTAGGTACCTTGCTTATGTTTTACACCTAGGGGATTAACATTTTAAATAAGAGGTTCCTATTGGGTTACTATGTAAGTTACTGTGCGTGTTGGTCTCTTACACTAGGGGGAATACTTAAAAAAAAAAAAAATCATTAGAGCAAGAACATTCTCAGGTAGAAGGAGGTACTTAGCTTTTCTTTGCTTATAGGAATGCACATTGCCCGTGTGACGTAGCGTCTCCTAGACCAGTGCGACTCTAGACCAGTAGAATTACTGGAGAAACAACTGAGGCATCTAACAAATTTACCCTTGGGAACAAGGCCTAAGCATGCCTCTAAATGATAGCTAATGAACAGTAATAATACTCTTTAGTTTGAATCACTTTAATGAGAGAATGGAACTTGGCCAAGTAGAAAATAATTGATTTTAGTTTAAGGATGAGTTTGGAAATTTTAAGTACCTTACATTAGGTTTCTGTGTTAAAATATTTGTTACTTTTTAATCTCTCCCAATAACCTAATGAGGTAGGTAATATCCCCATTTTATGTATAGGAAACCTGAATTTCAGAAAAGTTAAGTGGCTTAACTAATAAGTTTGCCTTCAAAGAGGTATTAGGGAACAGTAAGTGTGTGGTGTGGTCTATAGGGTTATATTGCCTGGGTTTTAAGCCATCCTCTAGCACTTAACAGACTAATCTCTCTGAGCCTCAGTTTCTTTGTACAGGGAGATAATAGTTCTCACACAGATTTTTGGGGGGAAAATAGATATTTTTTGAAATATTAAATAATTGAAGTAAAGGGCTTAATTCATAGGAAGCACTTAATATTAGCTAGTATTATATTTCTACCATTGATTCCCAAACTTTGGGATTTCATGGCCAATAAACTAAAAAATCAGAAGGGGGGCAAGATAGAATAGTCTGCTTTTTATCTTGCCAAGTGAGGTTATTAAAAAAATTACCACCACGATCTTCACAAAAGAAAGGACATTTTAAAATTTAAGTTGTTAGTGAATGACATAGTCTCAGAATGAAGAACTGTTTTTTAAATTGAATAAATTTAACTTCATAAAAGACTCGATATAATTCTTATTTTTCTTATTTTCCCATGAACTAGGAATTACATGCTCGTTTAAATCTCGCTCTAGTTCTGAAATATTTTGACTATAATATTCATACTCTTCCCTAGTACCCACTGCTTCTATATTAGTCACCATCAAACCTAGAAATAGGCAGGCAATCCATAGTCTAAGTTGATATTTACCTAATGAATCTCTAACTGCTCTTAGAAATCATAGGATTAGAGACTACATAAATGAAATTGGGCTGGATAAAACAATAGGCACAATAAGAAAAATAGCACAGACAGCCATATGCATTGATTAATCTAACAAATACTTGTAGCCTATTATGTGCCAAATACTCTACTAGACCCTACGCATATGACGAACCAAACACAAATGGTCCACGCCCTTTGGAACTTAAAATTTGGATTACTCCTATCTCCCAGGCCAGGTAGGTAGGTTGGTTCTTAAGTGTCAAGACAAATATGACATATGCCTAGAGCTTTAATTTTAATTGAAGGAGGAGTGGAGATGGGAAGACAATTTATCTAGCAATTTAAAATATATATTAACATCCATAAGGATGGCAGGCAAAGTTTACATGGATAAAAAAATACAATACTTAATACAATTTTAGTCTTTTAAGAGCGAGTTCGGGCTGTGGTTGTTTATCTGGCAATTTAAAATATATATTAACATCCATAAGGATGGCAGGCAAAGTTTACATTGATAAAAAAATACAATACTTAATACAATTTTAGTCTTTTAAGAGCGAGTTCGGGCTGTGGTTCCAAATAGGCATGCACAGTTTACTGTCTTATGCCCCTAGGTTGGTGGTTCTTTACATTTAGTTTGCATGAACATCATTTGAGGGAACTTGTTGAAATTACAGGTTCTAGGATCCTAGAGATTGTGGTTCAGGAGGGCTGTGGTGAAGCCTAGAATCTGCTTTAGAAAAAAGCTCTTGGGGGATTTCATTTTAGTGATCTATAGACCTTTCCTTGAGAGGTCTTGCCTTAGGGTGCTTCAGAAGTTTCAGAAGGCAATAAATTTAAAAGGGATCGCCACAAAGTGAAACTTGGGAAATTTCTCCATTAAAGAAACTCATTTTTTTTTCATACTATCCCACTGTCTCTGAATGCTGCCAATTTAACATGCTTTTAAGTTGCAGAGATTAATTCCAAATTAGTACAGTGCACCAGGTCAATTTTAGAGGAAGTCCTTGAGAAATTCTTTTCAGATATATTGCTAAAATATTTGCTTCAGGAGGCTGCCCTGATTCTGTCTTTTCCAGCTTTTCTGTTTTAATAAATTTACATTATGCATGAATATTTAATGAACAGCTTGGAAGCTGGCTTGGGTTTGTATCTACCCCTAAAAATAGAATTACATTTATTGTCTTAGGGATGTCAGTGCTCTCCAGGCAAAGACCACCAGGAACACACTTGTAGTTGGACAAAGTTGAGCTTATTGACTTGTGGCAATAAAAAAGAATGCTCACCATGGGGAACTGTTAGATGTCTCAGGAAGAGTGTGTTAGAAACAACATAGGATTTGGGATTGTGTTAGGTGATTTGGGGAAGGTTCA